TATTATAAACCTACCCTTTAGGAATAAATCTGCTCTGCTAGTGAAATGCTAAGAGCAAAAGAGATGCTTACAGCCTGGCCTTTTAATAATAATAATAAAAATAAATAAATAAAAAAAAAAACTTCTTTTTTTTTTTAAATTTTCCTAGAAACGTAAACAAGCAACGCTTAGCCTGGCGGCGGGGCTAGTAAAGCATGGCGGGCCGCCAGGCTTATAATACACTGGGGGAATCCCTGAACATGACGTAAATCTCCTAAAAGTCGATTTTTTACATTGTAGTGCCTCTTTAAGGAAAGTGGGATGTTAGATTTAGAAAATCCAACATGGCTGCCCAGTCCCTGGAAAGCAGGGACTGGGCAGCCATTTTGTGGCTAGACCGGTCTACAGGTAAGACCGGTCTAGCCACTGTTTGTTCAAATGTGGCTGGATGATGTAAATGCATGAGATTTATAGTGGAAGGCCAATATCAGGATGTTTAACTAATAGCGGTTTGCCTGGACACTGACTGAACAAAACTTTTAAGTGTGCATTCACCCTTAAAAAAATGCACCCAGGTGCATTCAGCTCTGTTTAGCACGCTTTAATCGAGCTCTAGCTCATTTGTCTGGAAAGTTCTGTTTGTTTGGGGAGGTGCGAATATTTTGAACTTTGATTTGAACCAAAAAAATGGACTCTGGTTTGCCTAAAAACCTAGGTCTCGGTTCGTATGAATGAACTCTGGTGCAGACACAAGCAGACCAGAGACGACTTCAAAATCAGGAAGTGCAGGGCATTCTGGGTAAACACAACCTAAACAAATATAAGGGTCCATCACTAGAGGGAGAAATTGCTGTAGTCTTTTGACAAAAATAAAGGAGAAAGCCTACTACTGCTAAACTCTGAAGCTACACCATTTTTAAATTTATTTATTTATTTATTTATTTACATTTTGTGAAGAAGAAAGTTGCGCTTGTATCGTTTTCCGAAGTTTTCATATTGTTTCTTTCAGTAGTTCTTGGTGCAGTGCCATGACAGGCAAGGTGAACAGATTTTTCAAAAGATTTTTCAAATTGTTTGAATGATTTGATATGGTGCATTGGGAAAGTGAACAACTTCAGCTGAAAATGTCTCAAATGTTGCAATTTTGGTCTCTAATCAAAGATCAAACAGAGACCTGACATTAAAAGAAAAGTAAAACAGAAATATCCATATTTTTGCAGTCGTTACAATAATATGTTATAAGTACATGATAATTGCTGGGTTGCAGACATGTGACCCGGATGATGTGCAAAATTCAGATGGGGGTCATGAAGTGGATTTCTCTGGTTCAAAACAAAGCAAAATGGATTACAGTGAGTACGCTAATCCCCTAAATGGGCTGGCACAGACAAGGTATCTCGAAAAAATATGCGTATATTTAGGATGTGATCCATATTTTCTCGGTAGAATTGTCAAGTAATCTTGAGGATTTACCCAGTGTCGAGGCGATCGGCATAATATCTAGTGCTGCAGCACTCAAACCTTTTCTGAGTAAAAATAATATATCTTACCTTACATGAATGCTTGTCTTTCTACCTCTCTAGCTCTCGGTGAAGGTGGATGCTTTTCCCTCTGCTTCTCTCCCTACTCATTCTCGTCCTGCTTGCTCTTGTGTTGCTTTTTTGAAGCCTTTCTTTGTACACCCTCCGAATCTACAAATTATGGATCTGGTCAACTTGTCTCGCAATGCAATTGATCAAATTTTCTCAACGAGAAGACTGGGCACAGGAGAGCCCTCTTGTCCTGCGGGGACACGTCCAGCAGGATACACCCTGGATTTATTCATGGTAACAGGATTTCTGCTGTTTGGGGCTTGTGGATTCCTGGCTTATTGACAAATTTGTGACAGACTTGGCCAAACTAGCGAACACTCAGACTGTTGGTGTGGACAGAGACGCAAGTTGGATGTGAGTCTTGCTGAGGCTTGCAGCCCAGCTGAGGACTCAAAAACTCACTAATGGGATGGAATCGATCTTGGAGAAGTTGCTTTCATTGGTTCAGTGGAACAACCACATTAATTTGAATAATTGGGATGAACTAGAAGAGATATAACGGTTAAAGACTCGAGGACAGACAGAAATGTTAAGTCTGCCAGATCTAAAGAGAATTTGTTCTTCTGAATCTGTGTGGCCTTCTGGATATCTGGACTCTCCTGGAGTTTATGTGAACAAACTGCTCCTTCCCATCTTTTCACCCCTCCTTGAAGTCACCCTGGAATCTTATGGCTGAACTCTCAAAGACTCACTCTTGATTATTCCACCTTTATCAGAGACTTTATTTGGGAGAACAGGGTGAGAGAGACATGGGCTGATCTGCAAACACGTCATAGTTGCAAACACACACTCCCTGACCTAAACTTCTTTGCCAACATGTTTTTTTTGTCTTGCTATATGTGCCATATCATACCTAATGTTGTCTTGTCATCCTACTTATCAGTTACTTTTTAGATTATTACTTGTTAGAAACTGTGAAGAACTCACTTTTAACCCAGAAAAGGAATTAGAACAAACTTTGGAATCTAGAGACTCTAGTTCAGGGGTGTCCAAACTTTTTGCAAAGGGGGCCAGATTTGGCGTGTTAAAAATGTAGGGGGACCGACCTTGGCGGATGTTCTTTACATAGAACAGCAATATATTTAAACACATTTCAGCAAGCCATTCTGTGTTTTACATTTGCTTTTTTTTCAGCGATCTTAAGCATGTATTTTGGTTCATTTGAAACATGCATATCATATGCAATTGAATATTCACTTAACTTCACTTTTTTAACACTAACTTTTTTCTAACGGTTAAACAGAAGTAATTGTACTCATGAGTGCAAATTACATTTGAAACATAAAAAATATCTCACCATGGCAGTTCAATAAATAAAATAACTGAAAAATGAGCAAGTAATAGTCATATCAACAAGTGCAGGGCTCATTTGAAATATGACATATTAGTAAATGTTGATTAGATTTTTAAAAGTTTATTATTCTGGAGTGAAAACTGAAAACTTGTCTGAATTTATGACTTATTTTGATCTTAAACAAAAACAAAATTTATTCAGAGACTTATTGTAAATGACTTGTCTGCATTAATGTGATACTGAGATCTGGACTGCAGCACATAGGCCAGGTCTGGCTCAAAGGCAGTGGTAGTGTAGTACTTGTATGCATCTGCTTATCTCTGCATTATTTCCCATACTGACTAGGCTGATCTGAGTTTAAGTGGGTTACTATTCATTTACTTCGTTAACGGAATTCTGCATGCAGCAGTTGTGTGTTCTGAGGGGAATGTTTTTGTTTTAGTTCTGGATGCTCGCTGACTGGTGTGGACGTGTAAAGTTCGTCTGCATCGGCGTTAGAGCACAAAAACTATCCAGTTGTACTCCGGTTCGGTTATCTTCATTAAAGGAAGATCAACATTATTCCCTCCTGGTGTGGTCATTATCCCGCACCT